GAGACCTGTGAACACATGAAGTCTCTTAGCCAAAATGAAGGTCTTCGAACCCTTTCAGATCTTCTGAGGTTTTCTGGTTCAGTTGGTAGTGTTTGATGGCTATTTGTAATTTCAGGTTGTTGTTCAAAACCTATTTCCTGTGGAGGTAAGTTAGGTGGTGCTGTAGTGGAGTGTGAAGAAGATGACCGAGACAAACGATAGTGAGTGCTGGTCAACAGGTATATTTGATGGTAAATAATCTGTGATGTGGTCACAAGGCAGAGGTAATACTGTGGCATTTGTAGCTTTTTGAGTTGGAATGGCTAGATAAGGTAACTTCGTCTCATGAAAAACAACGTCCCGACTGGAAATGAGTTTATTATTCTCTATATCATATACTTTATATGATTTTTTGGCCCGGTGGAAAACCAAGAAAAATACATATTTTGGCTCTAGTATCAAATTTGTGTTCATGACTTATGTTTGTAGCAAAACAAAGACAACCAAAAACTTTGAAATGGCTATATATGGGTGGCTTTTGATAAAAGATTTTGAATGAAGTTTTAATGTTCAACAAGGGAGTGGGCACTCGATTGATCAAGTAAACCGCATGCAGCACACTTTCACCCCAAAATTTTAAAGGTAAATTTGCCTGAAATCTAAGTGCCTTGCCGCATTGAGAATATGTCCATGTTTTCTTTCTACTACCTCATTTTGTTGTGGAGTCCCATTACAAATATGTTCAAAAAAATACTCCTGTGGGGAAATGGCACAATGATGATTGGGCTTGATCCTGATTAAATGGGCTGGAGTAATGCTGTTGGGCTGGATTGGTTCTTTGGATAACTTGCTGGCCCTGTTCTGTTTGGCAAAAACGTGTTTGCTCCTATACCTTTTAACTGAAGCGTGTTTTGATTAAAAGATTGGACGGTTGAGATGTTACCAAGTGTCGCCCCAGCTGCCGTTGGATGGTGACGCTTCTGGAGACTTCTCTATGACTAGGGTTTGAGATCTTTTGGTCGATTCATTCTCTCATTCGATTCAGTCTCTTGGTCTCTCTCTGCTCTCTGTTCACGCCATTCTTCCTTTGCACTCTAAAACTGATTTTCCTGTAAATCGATTGTAGTTTAGCTTGTATACATCTCTTGAGTGACTTGTAGTAAGGCTGATTTGTATCCTTGTGTGGATTCAGAGTCGATTTGTGAGGGATTCTTTACTTTGAGGAAATCTTGAGTGATTTTGTCTGAGTGCCTTGTGTAACTATGAACTGGCTTTGATCCTTGGTTTTATATAGTGATTTCTTTCGATTGGCGGAAGCTCAAAAGGGAATTAGGATTTATTCCGAACCTCTTGCCTTAGGGCGAAAAATCTTGTGTTCTTTTACTGTTTCTTATTTTTCTTGTGCATTACTTTTGTTGTTCTTGAGTTTATACAACTGATTAGTGGCTTTTAATCTCTACAACTCCATTATTAAAAAATTCTAACATGGAAGAAACTTCTCGACCGGTATCGATTCTCAATTTTTGGACCTGACTATGATGTTGGGTTTTAGCGTAAGCAAAAAATGATTTCAAGATTGACTGCGTTTCTAATTTGTATTTCAGAAGATATATCCATGTAAATCTGGAATAGTCATCCACAATGGTTAAAAAATAAGAGGTTTTGTAATCAAAGGAAATCTAAATGCACCCCATATATCACAATGAATCATCTCAAAGATTTTATTGGTTCAAATAGAACTCAAACTGAAAGGTAACCTAGTTTGTTTTGCCAAAGGCCAAATTTCACAAACATTATAAAAGTCATGAGCAATTTCTGGAATTGAAAAATTGATTTTGCTACGGGTACATCACGATATACATCACAGTGTCCACCCCTCTCACATGGGGGTGAGATAAAATAGTGAGGGGGTGGATACCTTGATGTACATCTTTTGATGAACAAGTAGGTTTATCCTTGAAAAATTAAGATACATCATAGGTAGTTTAAAAGGGTGTCCAAGCCTTTGATGCCAAGTATTTGATGTGACTGAAGTGTTGTTGGTGGGAATTCTTGATTTATCATCATGAATTTAGCATGGAAGATAGTACCGGCTTTCACTCATTTTCCCTAAACCCATCCTCTTCCTCGTTGCCAAGTCCTGAATCACACAGAAATCAGGGTAAAATGTGAGAGCGCAATTCAATGTTTTTGTAAGTTTGTTAATTGACGATAAGTTGACATTTAAGGTAGGGACATAATATACTCCAGAAATTTCTAGATTTGTGTTTAGTATCATATTACCTTCTGACTTGATAGAAGTTCTAGTTCCATTGGGCATTAAACCACTACAACTAGTAGATTTAGAAGAATTTAGTAGTGAAGTTTGTGTATTGGTGATATGGTCAGTGGCTCACTATCTAGTATCCAAAAGTTTGACATATACTGTTTATGATTAAAGGATAAACGTGCAATTGGGTTATGACCTGCTAAATTTGCTTTAGGCTGTACATTACCATCTTGAATGAGGGCCATAATTTGTTTAGGCGTTGTTTGTTACTACAAATTTTCCATGGTACTTTTTACCTGTTTGATTGCAAAAATTTTACTTGGAATTCGTTGTCCTGCCATTACACTCACGCACCTCTTTTCCTTGCAATCAATGAATTTGTTTTCCTTTTGTTTTGGTAGTTTTTTATTTTCCAGTTTTTTTTTGGACAATTGGGGAAAATTCTAAACACAATGGTAAAAAAAAAATTATCACTTTTATTAACAATTTCCATTCAAGACAAAGTCAAACGAATGGTATTCGATATGATAATTTTTTTTAATTAATTAATTTTGAAAATTGGAACAAATTTTAGATTCAATGGTAAAAACAATTATCACTTTAATGGACAGTTTCCATAAAAAACAAGTCAAACAGACATCAAATTTTCAATATTTTTCAGGTGGAAAAATATACAAATCAAACACAATTAATTACAATTCCCAATAAAACAAAATTTAGGCAATTCAATTCCCTATAATTCATTTTTTTCTACTCAAATTCCACATTCGCAATCAAACGGACCCTTGTATTCTTCTGTAGATCACGCTGTCCCCTAAATTCGGATCTATCGAGTTTAGGATCCATAAAAGCATCACGTCAGTGCACTTTTGCAAAGAAGTGAAGTTTTTATCTGCCTTTGAAGGTTCCTCGATTGTGATGTCAATGAAGCCTATTTTGTTCTTCGCACTGAGTGCAATGGTCATCGATTGGCACCAAGTCGAATAATTATCTCCATTCAAGGGCTTTGTAACTAAAATGGCTCCAGGGTGATCTGAAGCATGAAGAAAAAATGGGTCTGAGCCAATGATTGCAATCTTATGCGCTGCAGGAACATTAGGCATTTCATCTATTTCTGACATGGTTGTTTAGGTTGGGTTCATAAGTGTAACATTGGTGAATTTAGAGAAAAAAAAACCAGGAATTTTGCTCTAATACCATGAAAAATTATGAATAACAGAGAAAAATAATGTTTACCGAAGAAGAATCTCTTATTCAATGATTTGAGGTAGTGGAGTTCGTTGGAAGGTTGCTCTGGTTGACAAATGGTAGTCCCCCTCGTTAGACCGAGACTATTAGAATTTGGAATGATCATGTATAAATGAAGGAAATTCAGCTCCGTTAAATTTGTTTATTTCAATTTGAGAAAATCATAATTCACGAGTTCTAGTTCGAAGGTGCATGGAAAATGAAAATGTAGAACATGAATATGCACTTTCAAATCGGAGTGAAGTGGGATGTTGAGTAGTGCTTTCAATAATTTTCTCAATCCCAAATGTGCACTCTAAATTTGAGTTTTGGGAACGTTGTCAAAAAGTTTCGGATTTCAAGTCGTTTTCTATTTTCGATTTTTCAAAACATTGAAAACGCGTTTTTGAAAATAAGTTAAAAATTTACAAAGAAAATAAAAAACGACAAATTGTCGTTTTTAGTGTTTTCAGTTATAATCAAGTTAAAATTTTCAAAACGCGTTTTGGGTATTTTCAAAACAATTTTTGAAAATATCAAAAAGAACACATTTTCAACAATTTCAAAATGGATACTCAAAACACAAAATCCAAAATGAATTCAAATCTCAAAATACAAAACTGAAAAACAAATAGAACAACCCCTTCAATTTTCGAAACGTGTGAAGTGCTAGCATTTTAGACAACATAGATTTTAAGTGTGTGACAATATTTTTGCTTATATGGCATTTGTGCCAAATAGAAAAATCAGCATAGGAGCTAACGCCTAGGCAGAAAGGTTAATAGCGTAGCAAAATTGAAGTTGAGTGATTTAATTGCTTGAGCGACCTTGACAAGATCATATAAGAAAAAATTTGAGTGACCAAACTATAGATTTACCCTATAATTAATCTTGAAAACTGGAATTAACAATAACTATTGGTGGAGAAACATCATAAGACAAAACAAAAACTGTCCCTTCTTTAAAATTATTGTCCAAAACATAAGATTTGGAGAGAGAAAAAAACAATAGGGGCCCTCCTTTGTAGGAGGCAAGTGTGTGGGAGGAAGGCCTAATCTTTTGGAAGATGGAAAAATTACAGGGCAAAGTCTTCTCTCTCTCTTAACTTTGCTGACCCTTCAAACAAATCTTCGTTCAGGTACATTTCTCCCTCTCTAAACAATGCATCATAGGATTAATCAAATCATATGTTGTTTGTGTTTAAGGATGTTTTGTTTTGGAGTAAAGAAAGAGGATTGAGTGTTTATGTATGCTTGTACATAGTGTTTGATGCATGATTTGTTTTGTATAATCTGGAACATTAATTCTCTCTCATTATAGGATTAATCGAATCACCTGTTTACAGAAAATAAAGAAATTGTTTGTGATTTAAGATGTGATGTTACATTTGTTGTTTTGTATAATCTTGGAACTATATGTATGTATTTAGGTGCAGTGATTTGTGTGGGGAGCAGTTTCCGGGAGAAAGTTCGAGTTTCCGGCCTGTTTTTTGATCGAAAACTTCGCCGGAAAACCATATTGAAAAATGGCATTACCTCCTGAGGCTGCTATACCACGAGTTTTTAATAAAGATTCTCCACCACCACCTTCAATCGATTCATCGCCAGCTCCAGATTCATCTTCTCCACCGCCAACATACACTTCTCCTCTCCCTTCTGATGATCCTATACCACCAAATCATGATTCCCCACCACCACCACCACCACCACCAACAAAAGAATCTTCCTCAGAACCAACCCCTTCAACACCTGAAATACACAAATCACCACCGCAGGAGGGATCGTCTTCTCCTCCAACTTCATTGCCTACCACTCCCGCTCCTCCTGGTTCTCTTCCTACAAATGCCTTATCTCCACCATCACATCACTCGCCGTCACACAAGTCGCCAGATTCCTCAGCCTCTAATGGTGGTGGTTCATCGCCGTCTCCATCATCTGATTCCTCTTCTTCATTTGTGCCAATTATTATTGGGATTGTCGTTGGGGGAGTATTGATTGTTGCCTTATTCGCCATTTGCCTAGCATGTTCAAAGAGGAAGAAGAAACGGACATACTATCCTCCATATCCAGGCAAAGGTGCAATTTCTCATTTATATTTCAACTCAATTTGATTCACATGCACAATTCTCTTAAATAGATTGCAACAGCACTTGATATTATGACCTTTTATGCACTCTGATATCACGTTGAACCAGACTCCTCTAAAAGTTTAAAATGTAAAGAGAGGACACATTTATTTATTTAATTTAGTTTGCAACATTTCTCGTCAGTTGATCGTTGTGTTTGTATTGTGAAATTACCTCGATTTTTTGCTTTCAGGTGGTGACAAATACTACAATGGCAACTCAGACCATATTGTTAAACTTCCTCCACCACAGGGTGTTATGGGGACACCAGTAGGTGGTGCTGGAGGATGGGTAGCTCCACCACCACCAGGAAACACCATTAGTGAATTTGGCTCTGGGCAACACCATATACCTTTGCCATCTCCATCACCTAACATGGGTATGGGTGGCTTTTCCCAGAGCCAGTTCACTTACGATGAACTTGCAACAGCAACAGGGGGGTTTTCTCAAGCCAATTTGTTGGGACAAGGTGGATTCGGGTACGTACACAAAGGTATTTTACCGAATGGAAGGGAAGTCGCGGTTAAAAGTCTCAAGTCGGGCAGTGGACAAGGAGAACGAGAATTCCAGGCCGAGGTTGAAATCATTAGTCGTGTCCATCATCGCCACCTCGTGTCTCTTGTTGGATATTGCATTGCTGATGGACAGAGAATGTTGGTGTACGAATTTGTTCCCAATTCGACCTTGGAACACCACCTTCATGGTAAATTCTATGCTATTATGTCAAAATTTTTTTGTGTTTCCTCTTTGTCCTCAAGATGGAATTTGAACTTCTATGAACGATATGTCATGTTACAAGGCTCATATAACTCTCAGTTGTATAATGTCATCTTTTACTTATGAAATGTGTCGTTGTAGGGAATGGTCAGCCAGTGATGGACTGGGAGACTAGGCTTCGAATAGCGGTGGGATCAGCTAAGGGGCTTGCTTATCTGCATGAAGACTGTACAGATTTTGCCCCTCTTCCCCCTATTTTTTATGAATACATCAATTGTTATAGATATTTCTTGATATGTCGTGTGATTTCAGGCCACCCTCGGATCATCCACCGTGATATCAAGGCTGCAAATATCCTTCTCGACAACAATTATGAGGCCATGGTAATATATAAAGTACTATTGGATTGTTTTGCATGCTACACGATTAAGAAAGAAAACAAAGTTCAAATCTTGTCTACTATATATCCAGGTGGCAGATTTTGGGTTGGCTAAGCTCTCTTCAGATAATTTTACTCACGTTTCCACACGTGTCATGGGAACTTTTGGGTACGACGTACTTAGAACTCAGATGATTTTCTTCTGCGTTGAAAGCAAGAAGAAACGGCATTTATAGTCTGAAAATTGTTTGTTTGTTGAAATTCAGGTACCTAGCTCCTGAGTATGCATCCAGTGGCAAACTAAGTGAAAAATCTGATGTTTTCTCGTTCGGGGTGATGCTCTTAGAACTCATAACTGGGCGACGACCTGTGGATCTTACGAATAGAATAATGGAGGACAGCTTAGTAGACTGGGTTTGTTCTTGATTCTGTTTTTAGCAATTCTGATGAATTAATTTTTAATATAAGAAAAAATATTTATCTTAACTGTTTCCTCTTTCTAATCATGTTGTATCTAATTTATTTTGGCAATGTGCAGGCTAGGCCACTTATGGCTCAAGCTTTGGAAGATGGAAACTACGATGAGCTCGTGGAGCCACGCCTTGAAGGTAACTTCATTCCCCTGGAGATGGCTCGAATGGTAGCCTGTGCAGCTGCTAGCATACGCCATTCTGCCAGAAGGCGCCCGCGGATGAGCCAGGTAAACTTTTTCGTAGGATTGAAGAATACTAGCCAGTATTACTTCATGCATGTTTGGCAGAGCTTAGATTATAATTTTAACCAGTCAAATATACCTTTTATCCATACATTTCGTAAGACCTCCAAATTTTTAGCACTTAAAAAGCACCATTGAACAAACACGATAATAATAGTCCTGTCCATATATCAAACATGCCATCTATTGGTTACATGAAGTTCCTTTTTTTTCTTTTTCTTTTTTTAACGTTGTGTGATGTAACGAAACCTATGTCAGATTGTACGTGCATTGGAAGGAGACTCATCCCTCGATGACTTAAGCGAAGGTGGGAAATCCTCAAGCCAGGGTGGCCTGAGTGCAGCACATAACCATGGTGGGAGCAACACTGATATCTATGACACTCGTGCATACAATGCTGACATGACGAAGTTCAGGAAGATGGTGATTTCAAACCCGGATAACGCAAGCAGCGAATATGGAGCAACAAGCGAGTACGGGCTCAATCCGTCCTCATCAAGCAGCGACTCCAGAGAGCTTGACGATTCAGGTCCGCACAAGCCAAAACCATAGAATCATACATGACACTGCCAGCTTTAAGTGCAAGTTTGACATTCGATATTAGATCGTACAAGGCACTACAATATTACAAACAAAAACTAGATGCAAATCAATATCGTTTTACGGCTAATTTTGTTTATTCTTGGTTTCATGGTGAATATGCATATATGAGCATATACGTGAAGTTGGATTTGCCTTTGTTTTATTGTTTAAACTTTGGGGTAAAACTACAATTCATCTCATTTTGTTATCATTAGTGTGATATGAAGGAATGGATTAACGATTTTGTTATAATACAGCTGGTACATTTTAGAAAATATTGAGAAAATATGTTTATTCTACGTGTGAAAGTGGTTTTTTACTCCGTTTGATTACATATGTGAAAAATTGGTCGAAAGAAAATGTTTTATAGGAAATTGATTTGTTTAAAAATTGTTTTACTGAAAATTGTAATTAATTGTATTTGATTGATATAATTTCCCATCGAAAATGTTGAAAATTTGGTGTCTGTGTTAGCTTTGTTTTTTATGGAAATTATCCATTAAAATGATATTTTTTTCTACAATTGAATCTAGAATTTGTTTCAATTGCCAAAAAAAAAAAAAATTTTTTTTTTAAAAAATTACCATACCGAATACCATTCGTTTGGCTTTGTTTTGCATGTAAATTGCCAATAAAAGTGATAAATTTTTTTATCATTGTGTCTAGAATTTTTTCCAATTGCAAGAAAAAAAAAAAAGGGAAAATATTTACCAAAAAAAATCAAGAATTTGTTTTTCTCAAAAAGGTGGAAAATTTGGAGAGTTGGAAAACATTTTCCTGAAAAATTTTTGCCTATTAAACACTACAAAAGTTAGAAAATTCCATTTTTTCATGAAAAATATGGTGTATCAAACAGAGCCTAAAGTATCCATCCGAGTAGAATGCTAACTTAACTAAGAAATGATAGATGATTCAAACTATATTCCGGTTAAGAATGTCAATAAAATTGAAATTCACAGGTTAACATTCAAATAATATTAATATACGAACTCACGTTTATTGGAAAAGTAATTTGAGAATAATCGAGCCAATTGAATTCAAAATATATTTCAAGACATTTTTCCTCTCCCTAGTGCTCGAACTCATGAGCAATTGTCTCTATGGGTAGAACAAATTTCATTCCTATCGATACAACACCCCAATCACTTAAAAACTAGCGACAACTTTTGTCTTTATCATCGAACTTTGACATGAACGTTTTACACAAACTGGAGATTTATTTTCAAGAAAATAGAGAGAGTAAGATTGATTTTTAACATTGTTCATGGTCTAGCTATATATACTATCTTTTTTCCAGGGGTCAATGTTAACAACTTAGTTCATCGTCGTTAAACCTAATCCGAAGCATGGAGCTATGACATGATTAGACCCGAACATACAAAATGTTGAATGGGATGTCATAGGCCTCGTGGGAATTTTCATTGGCATGTAAACAAATTTTGAAGAGATGCCTTAACCATAGCAAAATTCTAAGTTGGGTAACTAAAATAGAAATCACAAATTTATGTAGTCAACTGCCATGCCATTGGAATAGGGAGAACTCCTATGATAAGAGAAGGCACAATGAGAGAGGACGGGAAAGTTCTTGTGATTGCTCCGATGTCAGCCCAAGTGATCACGATCATAGATACGATAACACCACATGATCGACAAAAATAGATGAGGATGGTTATGAACGTGTTTACTAGCATTCAGATAGGTCAATCTCTTGCGAGGACAAGTAGTAAATTCATGGCAATCCTCGACATGGTCATGCAAATGTCAAGATGCTTGTTCTTCGTTTAACCCATGTTTGTTTGTGTATAATCTGTCACATTTTTGTAGGATTCGTAAGTACTACCAATTTATTCATCTTTTTTTTTTTTAATTTATAATTTAAATTGTTTACAAATACTTCCGAAACTCAATCACATTTCTCATTTGGAATATTCCAAATGCATTATACAAAATGTTTTTCTTAAACCTTCCCAAACCCTAGATTTTTATGAATATACCTATCTCTTCAACTACAAAGGTGGTCAAAATCTGAAATAACACAATTATTCATAGCCAACGTTGGATGGAGATTAAAATAAGGGCATATTCGGTAGAGATTAAAATCGAATTAAAATTAAAAAATTATTCATTATTGTTGACTTTTATTAAATGAATGGGATCAAATAACAGCCATATTTTCAACTTTAATTGAATTTTAATTGGAAACAAACATGCTCTAAGTGTTTTAGTAGATTATTAAAATTTGAGGAAAGATGATGAAATATATGATTAAAAAGTTGTAAATTTCTTAAAATATATGATTAAAATTAATTGTTGATTTTGACCTGAATTAAGTCCTTGTTAGGGCTCCATTATTTTACATTTTAATGGGAAGAATAATAATTTTTTGGAGTATATGTGATAGAAAAGAAAGATTTTTTTTAGATTTATGTATATACTATTTTATTTAAAAATATGTGATTAATGAAAAAGAAGAGAAAAATGAATTTTAATTTAATGGGACGAAGCTCAAACATATTAATAGCTTGTTTGGGAGGGATTAAAGTCAGATTAAAATTGAAAATATAGCCGTTATTGTTGACTTTTATTAGACGAGTGAAATCTAATAACAGTCATATTTTCAATTTTAATTGGATTTTAAGCCCTCCCGAACGGGGCCCAAATCTTCAAAACGACCATTTAAGTAATTCACCAAATCATTATAGCAATTAAAAGTAAAATCTAGAAAACAAGTTAATATGTANATATGATACCCAAAAAAATTGCGCTTACATTTACAAGCAACAGTACTTCAAAAAATCTCGCTTCTTTTCATTTTTCAGGCCGCCCATTCTCTCCTGTCTCTCAAAAAAAAAAAAAACACTCTTCTTTAATCTTTGATAACAAGTTTTCGCGCATTTTTCGAAGATTAGGTAAGTATTTATGCTGTGAATTAATATTTTTAATCGTTTTTGTTGGGTTTTTGTATATGTTGATAATGGAGATATCTGATTTTGGTTGGCTTCCCCCCCCCCCCCCCCCCCCTCATTATGGGTTTTGATTTTCTGCTTAGGGTTTAAGAAATGGTGGCTGAGAATGAAAAGAACGAGCCTTTGGCGGACTCTCCGACTTCTGTGCTTGAAGATGAGGTATAATTTTATACTCTTTTTACGATTTTTTTAAAAAAAAATTCTGCTGCTTTTTTGCTTTCCGGATTTATTGGATTAATGTTGTTTTTGGGGAGTGTAGGCTCACGTAGGTGTTACTGTTAAGCAGAAAAAAAATATAATTTTGTTTTTTCTTTTATTAAAAATGAACCGAAAACTTTGTGTTATTACCTTTGGAAGGGAAAAAAAAAAAAGAATCTCTGTGTGTTTGGTTCTGTTATGGTTTATTGTAGAAGAGTATAAAAGAAAGTGCACAAAATTATAGGCACTTTCGAGAGATCCCCCAGTCTGAGTGCACAATAAGTTACGGTATGGAGCTTTATTTTTTGAAAAATGCTATTCATCCTCAGTCTATGTGGATGTAAATGATTGGTTAAATGATTTTAATTTCACCTATCATTTAATGTCACATTAAAGCCACATAGGCCGGGGATGCATCCCCAGTGGGGATGAATAGTATTTCTCTTATTTGTTATGAACTTATTACATGATGTTTGCCCATCTGTTTGACTCGAGTTGCGTTTTTTCTTGATTCATATACTTGAATGCTTTGACTTCTGATGCTTGAGATCCAATCCTGTTTGATAAACTCTGTTATTGCAGTCTTCAGATGAAGTTGCACCAAGGAATGCAATGTGCTATTATCATTTTATTACACCTTGTGTTGCTTGGAGTTTTGGTGATAAACATGTATTAAGCAGGATTAGCCAATGCCATCTTGTTGGCTTTTGTTTGTGCTAAAGCATTTATTTATCTTTTCTGTTTCTTGTAAATTTGGAGTTTTGAGTTTTTTTCAGACAATTGGAGCTTTTGTTTATGACTAATCCCCTTGCATAGTTTACATAAATTGGTTTGTCTGACGTGTTGCTTATTCCTAGAAATTTTGCCATGCATTGAGATCTCTCCAATCTCATCTTGAGGATTTTTGACGCATAAATGTTATCTCTTTCTCACTTTCCTAGAGGAGGGGAAATACATAAATTTTTCTAAGTGTTATATCTGATTCGTGATTTTATTTTGATCTGTAGGATACCTGCAAAGAGGCAGTTGGAGATAAGCCAGAGAAAGAACTATTACTTCCCGCAGAAAATACAGATTCTTCTATTATTTCAAAGAGCATGGCAGAAGAGGAAGAGAGGCTGATGGGAGAGCGACTTAAGGAAGAAGAGGAAAAGATGAATGAGCCTAAGGAGGAACCTCACTTGAATGACATCCAGTTCACTAAACTTGATGAGCTTCTTACACAGACTCAGCTTTACTCAGAGTTTCTTCTGGAGAAAATGGACACCATCACAATGGTTTCTTTCCTTTCTATAAATCCTTTGTTTTGTTTTGAACATGGATGGAAATATTAGTTTTTGCTAAGAATTGATGTTTGTATTTGTTAGAATGGCCTGGAAAATGACGACCAAACTGTTAAAGAAGGCAACAAGGGACGTGGTTCAAAAAGAAAGGCTGGCACAAGTTATAATACTGTAAATAATCTTTTTAATCCTTTACTGTTGAGCTTAAGAATTTATTGTCTCTCTTTATAACCTCAAAACTTGAGTTATGAAGTATATTCTAGATTCCCAGGTCAAATTACTGGATGTAATGAATAGTCAATGTTTGTTTAATATAATAGACTAATGTCTGGCACCATTTTTACACTTGTACTTCACTTTGATAGTGATCTTATCTTCTCTTCTATGTATGAAAGCTTTGCACCTTTGTATCTGAGATTGCTTTATTCATCTAATTATCTTAATAACATCAGGATAGCATTTCCATTTTTCTCATTAGCATATCTTTATCATGGTTTGGCTCTTATAAAATACTGTATATAGAGTTTTTTTATGATTGTTATGGGGAATATAAAGGAAAATTGGACCTGTAATTTATGATAAACTGGTTTCTTCTTTTTCTATTCTTATTTTTTTGTGAATGAGTTTTGCTTTTTGGTGCGGAAGAGTGAGGGGTTACTTAGATATCATGCATTGCATACCTTTGTAGAGGAAGGCCAAGAGAGCCGTTGCAGCCATGCTCACAAGATCTAATGATGGTGTCCCTGCTGAAGATTCAACCCTAACAGAGGAAGAGAGAGTTGAGAAAGAGCAGGCTGAAGTGGTACCTCTATTAACTGGTGGAAAGCTGAAGTCTTATCAAATTAAAGGTGTAAAGTGGATGATCTCGTTGTGGCAAAATGGACTAAATGGGATCCTTGCAGATCAAATGGGGCTAGGAAAAACAATTCAAACAATTGCTTTTCTTGCACATCTCAAAGGAAATGGGTTAGATGGACCTTATATGGTCATCGCTCCTCTTTCTACTCTTTCAAATTGGATGAATGAAATTGCAAGGTACTTTCCTGTTGTTTATTGTGTCATATGTTATGAAAGTGAAGTACTGAATTAGGATCTACTTCTCTAATAGTTCAAGTTACACCCCTTTTGCACCATTTATGTACTTCAATCTGACTGTTTTGCAATTTGCTTAGGTTTGTGCCTTCACTGTATGCAATCATTTACCATGGTGATAAAAAGGCTAGGGATGATATTAGAAGAAAGCACATGCCCAAAATAATAGGGCCCAAATTTCCTATTGTAATTACTTCTTATGAAATTGCACTAAGTGATGCGCGGAGATGCTTGAGGCATTACAACTGGAAATATGTTGTGGTTGATGAGGTATATTGCAGTTATTATTATTATTTTTGGATTTCATTCCTTGAAGTTTAAGTAATGTATTTGAACTGCAGCCATAATGAATTATATAATTATTCTTGAAGGGACACAGGTTGAAGAACTCAAAATGCAAACTGGTGAAGGAATTGAAACAATTACCCATTGAGAATAAGCTTTTATTGACAGGCACACCTCTGCAAAACAACTTGGCTGAGCTTTGGTCATTGTTGAATTTCATTCTTCCTGATATATTCTCATCGCATGAGGAGTTCGAATCATGGTAACTATCTTTTGGTTGCTATGTCCTAGAGATATGTTACTTTTTTTTTGGTATTCCTTCTACGGTATTATTTTGATGCCTTGTCTTCCTTTATATGTTGTTATCTTGTTTTTCGGTGTTGAGACGTGTACATACAATTTGTAATAGTTATTTAGAAAAACTAGTCTTTTGTTCAGTGATAATTATATTTACACCAAATTATACACACATATGCAACTTGAAGCTATGTGGACATCAATGAACTTCAATATTTGATCTAATCTTGGCACCTTCCACGACCGGAGGTGTCAAAAATAATTTTTAATTTTGTACTGTTGGACATATCGTTAATTTATCGGCATCGAACATCCACACAACACCGACACGTTGGAAATGCCGAGTGGCATATCCAAAATATCCTTTGATTGTGTATTTGAACAAGTTGCCGACACGTCGTTAAATACACCGAGATGAGACCAACTCATTGTCTACATGTGTTGAAAATTCCATTGGCATGTCCAAATTATTTTTGGTCTTATACTGCTGGACACATTGTCAACATGCTGGAATTAATAGAAGCAAATTTACTCTAGGATATATAAATAAAAATGATATCAATTTAACTAGCCTGTGGGTGACTTGACGCGTCGGTTCTTTTTTGAAAAATTGCATATGTATCATGTTATGTCCGACACTTGTATCCGTGTCACAACTTTTTAGAATTTCATCAGTTTTGAGAAGTAACATTTGAACAGCTTCATTGGCTCATAGTGAACAGTTAGTACTTGTTTTGGACAATTTTTTCCCAATTATTTTAACATTAAATGGACTGTTTATATTCTGCCAAAGGGATTAGGATATATGTTTTTCCTTTTGCTTGTGCTTCCTGTAACGACCAAGATCTCTATACCCAAGTCGTTATTATATCATACGTACTGTCCGCTTTGGAAGGGTCTAGGCCCATCTTACCCCTCACGGCTTTCTAACGCTTCTCCCAAGATTTGAATTCAAGACTTCCATCATATGGGAGATTTAAGTTGAATCCTGGTAACACGTCAGAAAGCGGTGATGGGTAAGATGGGAATATGCCCTCCCAAAGCGGACAGTACGTATGATATGATAACGGTTTGGGTATAGAGACCTGGGTCGTTATAAAAAAAGGAGCGTTTTTTTTTTGTAACGACCCGGCCTCGCACCGGAGCCGTTATCATATCATACGTACTGTCTGATTCGGGAGAGCCTAGGCCCATCTTACCCCCTTACGGCTTTCTGACTCATCTCCAGGATTCAAACCCAAGACCTCCATCATATGGGAGACTTAAGTTGAATCCTGGTACCAAGTTGGACTTTAATAAGGAGCTCTAACATGTTTTTCTGGGACCTTATAGTGCTTTTATGGGCTAGATTATGGAGGACGAGTTTCGTGGTTTCAGCTAGTGTTTAGGAACCTGATATGTGGGAATATTCAGAAATATGATTAACTTTGGGCTACAACTCGATTTGGATAAATGTTTACAATATTTAGAGTCTTTAAAATGCTGATTGCAGATTTGGACATTGTTCTAGTTTATTATATTCAGCAAATGGTAGCCATGCATTTTGATTAATGGTTGATTTCTCCTTGTCTGACTTATTTCGTGATGTTACTTGTATTCAGGTTTGATTTCTCTGGGAAGTGCAACAATGAAGCCCTCAAGGAAGAATTGGAAGAGAAACGAAGGGCACAGGTATAATTGCTATGCTTGCAAAGAAGATGGGATAATGGGATAATGTGCATCTCGTTTATTAACTCTTGGCAATTTGTGAATGTGCAGGTGGTGGCCAAGCTTCATGCTATATTGCGTCCTTTTCTCCTACGTAGAATGAAATCAGACGTTGAACAAATGCTTCCCCGTAAAAAGGAAATTATATTATATGCCACATTGACTGCTCATCAGAAGAACTTCCAGGATCATCTCATTAATCGGACGCTGGAAGATCACTTACGAGAGACAGTGGATAGTGGTAAGGAGTACATTATATAGTGATGAGACAGTGGTCCTGAAGTGTATGCGATATTTTAGTAAATCCATTTTAGGCGGTGTTGGGTTTAGATTGACGTAATTTAATTTTGACTTGACTCAACATGGTGACATACGACATGCTACACTGCTACAGTTCCTTGTGGTTCCCGCCTTCTCAGTCTTTTGTATTTAAATGAATCTGAAATCATGCATGCTCAAACTTATATTGCAGAAAGTGGACTAATCATCTTTCATACAGTGCTATTATTCAAATGGTCATTTAATATTGTAAACATGCAGGGCGTGGCATGAAGGTAAAGTTGAATAATTTGATGGTTCAACTTAGGAAGAACTGCAGTCACCCTGACCTGTTGGAGTCTGCTTTTGATGGTTCTTGTATGTTATCTGCAATTTATATAATTTGATTTATTTATGAACCATAATAAGACTTCTTACCATCTTATTTCCTGGCAGATTTTTACCCACCTGTTGAACAGATAGTGGGGCAGTGTGGCAAGTTTCAGTTGTTGGATAGATTGCTGGCCAAGCTGTTTGAGCGCAAGCACAAAGTAATTATCCAGTTATATAGTTTGTGCCTGTGTTCTGACTGCTAATTGGTTTTCACAGGTCTTTATGTGGTGTGACAGGTTTTGATCTTCTCCCAGTGGACGAAAATATTGGACATAATGGAGTACTATTTTTCTGAAAAGGGGTTTGAAGTCTGTAGAATTGATGGCAATGTGAAGTTGGCAGAAAGAAAAAGACAGGTCCTTGATAAATTTTTCTCTTTCGTATGGAACATCCGAGTATTTTCTGTCGTTGCCAGTTGCCACCACCTAGGTTACTTGAATCAGAAAATTGTTTGCGGAAATTGTTTTATATTGCATCTGTTATCTGAGTAGAACCTTCCTTAAATACATAGTCTATAATTTCTGAAAGCTGGCCGAATACAAATCTTGTGCTGGATATGTTAATGATCAATTATGCATATGCAGAAGTTGATTCAAGGCTGATATAGCATCTGTAACTCCTTGAAACTTATGCTGGTAGTATAGCATATCCTATTCTATTCTATTCTCCATCCATTCATTGGCTATTCTAGACTGTCTTTGTAATTCTAGCCTGTCCCTATATTTTTTTATTGCACTCTCAATTTTGCACTATTCCTTAATTGCTGTCTGTTAATCATCTGAAGAACCCTAGTGAACAGCCGATAATATTCAAGCAAATGGAATCATTGTGTAAATCTAGAAATTATATGCAACAAGTCATGATCATCCATCAAAATTGCAGGGGAATGTTTAGGCACTCAAGGGCCTATTAATTTTTTATGATAAAACTTATCTGCCAAACATTGGCTAATATGAAACTACATGATCTGACAACTGCTTTGAACTCTAAAAAAACAGATTGAGGAGTTCAACGATGTTAACAGTGATTATAGGATCTTCCTTCTCAGCACCAGGGCCGGTGGTCTGGGTATTAATCTTACTTCTGCGGACACTTGCATTTTATACGACAGCGACTGGGTACCTTCTTTAACTTGTGTATTTTCATCTATTATGGTCGTCTGTATTCATTTCTGAGGTTTAAAGATTTATACATTGTGCTTGCACTGCAGAATCCACAGATGGATTTGCAGGCAATGGATCGGTGTCACAGGATTGGGCAAACAAAACCTGTTCATGTTTACAGGCTAGCTACTGCTCAGTCTGTTGAGGTGCTTCATAAGCAGCATTGATCTCTTCTCTCTCATATTTCAGCCCTTTCTATTATTCTTAATGAAGAAACCTTCAATGTTATTTTATCAGGGTCGAATTCTGAAAAGAGCTTTTAGCAAGTTGAAGCTCGAGCATGTGGTGATCGGGCAAGGGCAGTTTAAGCAAGAAAGAACCAAGACAGATGGCAGTGATGTCATGACGGTTCGTGCACCCTGTACATTTACCATTTTGTTGCATGTTTTTCATTCCTGTACCTCTCACCGATCCAGTTTTTGTATTCTCAGGAAGAGGAACTGCTAGCACTTCTTCGAGATGAAGAAGACGGAGAGGATAAGTGGATACAAACGAGCATCAGTGATGAAAATCTGGAGAAAATTTTGGATCGCAGTGATCTGATTACGAATTCTTCCAAGGACAAAAACCCTGAGACAAAGCCAACCCCTATTCCTCTTAAAGGACCTGGTTGGGAAGTTGTTATCCCAACCACAACTGGTGGAATGCTGTCGACCCTCAACAGCTGATACCTTATCGATTTTATAGTTGAATGTGATGTTTGTTGATGCCATTTTATGCTGTTGCTGTAAGTTTTAAAAGTCTCCTCTCAATTTTTGTTAATATTCAGAGGAACACTTTGTAGAATGGTTGGCAGGTGGTAGACTGCAATATTGGAACCAAGAGTGACAGAGCTAGGCATCATGTCATGAGTTTGAATGCTTGAACTGTATCGTTGACTTGAATTATCCTGATAACTATTTGAAAATGTGATTGAAAAGTTGTGAGACCCGTAAAATATATGGTTAAAATTGATTGACTTTGATTTAGATTAAAATTTAAATTTGTAACAAACATTTGTAGGGTTGGCAATGGTCCAAGCTTCTAGTTGGCTCAGGCTTACATTTAAATGAGCCGAGCTTGGTTCTTAGCTTGTCTGGTCGAATCAATCCCAACATTTGGGCTCTTGGACTTGGGCCTGCCCTATGGGTGTGACTATGGGCTTGCTCTAGGAGCCCTATTATTTAATTTTGAGAAAATTAGATGGGGAAAAATTTATAAATAAGGTGTTTAGTTTACACCAATTCAAAAATCATAATTATAGTTTGAAAATTCAATTAGTTTACACCAATTTAAAAATTATGTTTATAGTTTAAAAATTTAAAAATTAGGTTTTTTTTTAATTCTAATATAATATAATATAATATAATAAACTTACTTTACATGCACCATCCCTATCGTTTCGGGGACTATTTCGGCCATCATTTCGATCACCACTTTTCTCTGGAGACCATTTCAGCGACTGTTCCGATTTCAGCGACTATTTCGACGATCATTTCGGTCACAAATTTATAATTTAATTAGTCACACATTATTTTTCAGTCATAAATAATAATTTTTATACGTCACATATTATTTTATGATCACAGTTCAAAAATTTTATAGGTTACATTTAATTCGTTGGTAACAGATTTCAAATTTAGTTGGTCACAGATCAAAATTTATAGGTCACACGGTCACAGATTTTCAAATTAATTAGTCACAGATTTTTTATGGTCACAGATTTTATAATTTTTAGGTCACAGATAAAAAAATTGTTAATTTCATTGGTCACATATTTTCAGATTTGTTGATCACAGATTATTTTTCAGTTACACATTGTCAAATTTTAGGTCACGGTTAAATACTTGGTCACAGATAACTGGTCACATACCACTAGCACTACTTCAGCCACCATCACCACATAAAACACCGCCACCATCCCAACCTACCAACCTATCGCACACTCTAGACTAGTCAAAACCCACACACCCACGCAGCCAATACCACTGCACCGCACCCACAACTTGCAGACACACCCACCACTATCGCAACATTCAGCCACAGACTATCAACACCACCACCAACCAGATCTAAACCCACCACACACCACATCTGGAGTCAAACACCACATCCACTCCACCGATTGCCGTTCACAGGACACACACCCATATCACACACTAAACGGTAGTCGACAGCCGCGAAAGGCACACACCCCGCGAACTCTAGCGTCGCGCGATCCACCTCCACAGTGACCACCCCAACAAGATCCATTGTAGATCGCGGGAAGAAGCACTATGAAACGGCGTAGAGAAGGGAAAATGTGTGCGGCGGTGGTTACGATCGCGGGAAGAAGCATTGTGAAACGGCGTAGAGAAGGGAAAATGTGTGCGGCGGTGTAACCACCACCGCACCGCACCACCGTCTATACTGTATGAACCATGATCCACCACAAATTAAAACAACCAACAAAAAATTGAGTAGCTCACAAATCAAAACAACCAACTGAAAAGGGAGAGAGGGGAGAAGAGGCGAGGGAGAGGGAAGGGGAGAGGTGACGGCTTCAAATCGCCAATGCCGCTTCAAATCGCTCGACGCTCCATCGTCGGTGGCCGGACGTCGGTAGAGAAGAGAGAAAGAAGGTAGGTCCTCGAGGCGGCGTTGCTGTTGCCGCTTGTTGTCGTTGATTGGGGTGGGAGAAACGACGGTAAAGAAGAGAGAAAGAAGGTAAGTCCGTTGGGAGTGAGAGAGGCGACGGGAAGAGGCGGGTAGAGAGAGAGAGGGAGATGAAAAATGATTTAAGGTTTGGGATTGGATATGGTGGGAATAATATTTAATTTTTTTCTTCTCACCTGATTTTTGCACTCTAATATTTAAACACCTGATTTTTTACAATTTCCCAATTAGGTACATAACTTAGCCCTTGTTTGACATGGTTTTTTCGAGTTACAAGTTAAAATTTATTTTTAATCAGATTTACAACTTTTATTTACTGTTTTTAATCTCAAAAAGATTTGTCAAATGGAGCTTATTCATTAACATTTTGTTGGAAGCCCAACTTTATAGTCTAGATTTTAGTTATTTTATATTGAATATTAAGATATCGATTGAAATATTCAAACTAAGAATCCTCAATTGAAAACCTATATACAAACGCTCGGCTGCCCAAAAAGCAAGAACACAATTCCTCAAAAGTCACAATTATTTCATAGCTTAAAACTTATGTGAGTTCCAAATGAGGTCATAATTAAGGATTCAAAAGTAACATTAGCATACACCACAACTTGACATCCACAAGATCTAATTAATGATCACATTTAACTAATCTATACAAACTCTTTACTTTGAAAGTGACTTGTAAATCAAATCAAACAAAATGATACACAACTATTACGTACACTTGTGCTCAAGTTTGGTCACAATTGGAAAGTTAATGAACTTGTTATATTATTATTTGAAACTAAATCAATCAAAAAACTTTCAAAAGTTCAATGTAAAATTTTATTATTATTCAAATGTTTTTTTTTCTTTTTTCTAGCATCATCAAACACATTCTAACTTATATAAAGTTTGAAAATGTGACATTTTTACTTTATGAAGAAGAAATTTGTAATTAGTTTTGCAGCGGGCACAAATGTTGGTTGATGTATAATTATTAGAATCTTGTGAAAAATGGAAATAACATATTCAAGTGAGATTGTAAGGTTAGAATCTTGTCGACATTCGGGGAATTGGATTCTCACCAATGTTTACATTATTCCAGCTGACATTCTTGCTTTTGCTTTGTCCAATACTGCTAGCACGAGAGATTCCCTTAACAAATGGGTATATTCATTACATGGTTGGTTTCGATCTAGGAATCCTCTAAAAAACCTTTCTCCCTTTAATAATAATAAGGGGAGCATTTAGCTTGATCTTTGAATAGAAAAAGAGCGAATTTGTAGGGTTTCAAATGCATTGGCATAGTCGAATCTGAGACAAGAGATACATTAATGGGCTCGAAGAGATTAGCTCGAATTGAATTGTCCTCATCCCTATTAATCGAGTGCTAATGCCCCCCATCACCCAAGCCTTTTCCAAAAAAATACAAGATAAGCCATAGATTACATTTAAGAAACACAAGATACCACTTCTTAAATTATTCAAATCACATTTGAATTGAATGTTCATTCATATATGAAGAGATATAATAAATAAAATATGAGAATAAATTAGTAAGTATTTTCAAGAAATAAAAACAAAATGAAGAATTAAAATAAAGAGTATTGTTGAAATGCATAAAAATTTACGTTCTAAATTTATAGATAGTCTCTATTATGTTATATGTATAAGATGATCTTTATAAATAGAACGTCTATTTGAAATGCTCCTATTGATTAGGTAAAAAAAAATTAAATTAAAATTATCTAAACCATAATTGAATCTGACTTTTTAAGTTCTTCATCTTTTTCTTGTTTAGATAGATGACAATTTTCAAAACATGGTTTAAAATCGAGGAGTGACAAAAATTTACAGCCTTTAGTAGCAAAACAAGTCTAGATTCAATGTATGAAAAATATCCTAGCGGGGTGGGTGATTTGGGAGTCCCGCACCCCCATATTCAAGAGAAGAAATTTCATGTCTCTTTTCGGAGTACTAGAATATTTAGCTACACCCTGGCCTGCACCCACCAAAATTAGGAATGACAATGGAGCGAGTATGAAATGAGTTAACCATTCCCATCCCTGTCCCTTCAGGTTTTTTTTGTTACCTTATCCTATCCCTAAAACTTCTTAAAGTGCGATGGGACGGGGCGGGATCAGATCGGATCGGATGGGGGAGTTTTATGCCCAATTTTTTTTTCTTTTTATATTTTAATTATTTTATTTTTTACTTTAAATTTTTTTATATTTTTAGGTAGTAAATATTATTATTTTTTTACCAATTTATTAAAAATTTTATGCCCCATTTATTTTTTCTTATTCTTTTTTATTTATTATATTTTTTACTTTTTTATATCTTTAGTTAGTAAATATTATTACTTTTTTACCAATTTACTAAAAACAACTTATGTTCTCTTAAAAAATGATAAATTTATTATTTTTGTTTGATAAAAAATTTAAATTTAAAATTAACTACCATAGGTAATGGGATGGGGATTATCAGATTATGTTTCCTATTCCCGTCTCATGTCAACTTCCCGTCCCTGCCTTGTTTGATTCCACAAATATCGGGTTCAACGGAAATTTTTGCGAATCCCTAACCAAAATCCAAACTTGTTATCGGCCTTGTGCTTCTCTCTCTTTCAAGTCAACCCATCTTCACCAATTTTTCACTTTTCTGTCAAAAACCCATAAATTAAATGGCTATATTGAGCGAAAAATCTTCACAAAATTCAACGATTTCTAATCCCAATTCGTATGGCGCGGTGGTTCTTGGTGGCACCTTTGATCGGTTACACGACGGCCATCGCCAATTTCTTAAGGTGTATGTCTACTTCTTTGCATACATATATGTAATTATTGTGAATAGCAATGCACACGCCCGCGCGTGTAATTGATTATGATGGGGAATTTGAAAGTGGTGGTGGTGGTTTGATTTGCAGGCGGCGGCGGAGTTGGCGCGGGACAGAGTTGTGGTGGGTGTGTGCGATGGCCCTATGTTAACTAAGAAACAGGTAATGACTTCTATTGTATTGTAATTTGTTTTTATTGTACAGAAGTATTTTTGTTTCGATCATATTAATACCCATTGAGTTTGAGGTAATTTGTCAAGGTATGATTTTGTTTGGTGCATAAAAAAGTATGAATCGTTTTGAACCAAATTAATGCATAAGTGAGCCCTACAGCTAGATTTCTTGTTCTCCGAAAGTTTAGCTACAAAAAATTTCTGGTGGTCGAGGATTTATGTAGTACATTGGCTTAGTTTTGTAAATCATTTTTATGGAAAAATCAAAGCTGTACTTGATGATGACGTGATCCTATGACCATTCGAAAAGGAGAATATTGGGTGGAAGATTGGGAGAATTGAAAATATGAATCACTTTTATTGTTTGTAATTGAGTTTTTGGCTTGTTGCTCAGCCATTATTTGATGAAATGCCATAAAGGAAATAGCCTTTCTGATCTCAGGTTTATTGTGGATTTTCTATGTAGTAGTATAGTACATCAATGTAAACCATAAGGCTCTGTTGGGACACCAAATTTCGATGAAAACGCTGAGGTAGTCTTGGAAAGCAGACGTGTATATGATGTACCAAAAAAGAGGAGAAGTTTAAAATTTATGTGTTTCTTTTTGTTTGCAGTTTAATCATATTAAGCATATTTGAAAAAAAATAGAAGTAAATTTAAAATTTATTTTGGTAGGAATAAAATGTGAAAGAAACCAGCTTTTAAAATTCTTGTCTTTTTTCACCAAATCTATAATCAAAGCAGAGCCTAATTGCTGGTTGAGCATGTTGTGCATCGCAGAAATAAGAGAATTCTGATAATGTATATTATGATCTCATGGTAATTTTCTTTCTTCAACAAGCAAAGGTGTATCAATAATATATTTTGAACTTGTTTTGCAGTTTTCTAATCTTATAGAGTCTATTGAACGAAGAATGAAAAATGTTGAAGATTATATCAAGGTATTTGTTCCATGTATGATGATGCTTTAGTCTTGCATAATCTATAATCAGTTTGCATGCTAGGTGATTGATTCTTGAATCTTAGAAGGAAGATCTTCCTCTCTGGTAATGTGGCACTATGATGTATCATAGTTGAGAAAGTGGGTTTAAGTGGACTGTGTTCAATTTTTTTTTTTTAATTCACATTTGATGACTAATCATTCCATTAAGATGGAAGAGCGGCAATACGATGAAAATTTGTGAAGCTTTGTGTTTAATGAAGGCACTCTGCTGATGGATGCTTTAATGGTTGTATATTTTAACAGGGACTATCAGACCCCCATCTGACATTATCTTCCTTTTTTTTTTCCCGAAGTGAAGAAACATTTTGCTCATGTATTTTTGCGAAGATAACACTTGTATTCTTTTCCTGCAAATTATCTTCAGTCTGTAAACCCGGAGTTAGTTGTGCATGTAGAACCCATAATGGATCCCTATGGTCCATCTATAGTTGATGAGAATTTGGAGGCTATTGATGATGATGGGAAATTTGAAAGTGGTGGTTTGATTTACAGGCGGCGGCGGAGGTGGCGCGGGACAGAATTGTGGTGGGTGTGTGCGATGGTCCTATGTTAACTAAGAAAAAGGTACAGAAAGTGTTTTTGTTTTGATCATCTTAATACACAATGGGTTTGAGATAATTTGTGAAGATATGATTTTGTTTGGTGCATAAAATAGTATGAACCAAATTGATGCTCAAGTGAGCCTACAGCTAGATTTCTCGTTCTCTGAAAGTTTAGCTACAAAAAATACAGGTGGGCGAGGTTTTATGTAGTTCATTTGGCTTAGTTTTGTAAATCATTTTTATGTGAAAAATCAAAGCTGTACTTGATGACGACGAGAAACCATCTTTTAAGATTCTTCTCTTTTTTTCTCCAAAATCCAAAATCTAAAATCAAAGCGGAGCCTAATTGCCAGTTGAGCATGTCCTGCATCGTAGCATTAAAAATAGAGAATTCTGATAATGTATCTCATGGTAATTTTCTTTATTCAACAAGCAAATGTTCATCGGGTAATATAGTTTGAACTTGTTTTGCAGTATTCTAATCTTATAGAGCCTATTGAACGAAGAATGCAAAATGTTGAAGATTATATTAAGGTATTTGTTCCACGTATGATGATGCTTTAGTCTTGCATAATCTATCAGTTGGCATGCAAGGTGATTGATCTTGAATCTTAAAAGAAAGATCGTCCTCTCTGGTAATGTGGTACTAAGGTTTTTATTGTATGATGTAACATAGTTGAGAAAGTGGGTTTGGGTGGTTTGCATTCTATTTTATTCACTTCACACTTGATGACTAATTATCCCGTTAAGATCGAAGAGTGGCAATAGGATGAAACTTGTGAAGCTTTGTGTTTAATGAAGGCACTCTGCTGATAGATGCTTTAATGTTTGTGGATTTTAATAGGGACCATCAGAGCCCCTATCTCACATTATCTTCCTTTTTTTTTTCTAAGTGAGGAAAAATTTTGGTTGTGAATTGTTCCGAAGATAATACCTGCATTCTTTTCCTTCAAATTATCTTCAGTCTGTAAAGCCGGAGTTGGTTGTGCAAGTAGAACCCATTGTTGATCCCTATGGCCCATCAATAGTTGATGAGAATTTGGAGGCTATTGTCGTCAGGTTCGAATATCTTCTAAGAATTGTGATTCTTTTTTCACTTCAACTTTTTATTTGCATTCTTTTCTTTTTTTGCCCTTTATCTCTCTCTCTCTCTCTCTCTCTTGCTTTGCGATATGTGTGAATATGACACTATCATCTATGAGTTTATTTCTATAAGTCCAGTCCATGACGTATTTGTCAATGGGGTGAATTATTAAGAGAATAGTCCTGGGTGATTTCCTATTACAAATGTTTGCCTCAATATTCTTTGATTTTGTCTTTAGTCATTGATGAAAATACTAGAGATCCAAGATAAGTTATTTTGCTGTATGTTATGTGCTAAGCATATTAGTTGATGAGAATACAGGATGATATATCGTATTAACTTAGAAATACTTTGGAATCTAAGGATTTCAAGTGAAATACTAAGACTGAGGATTATGGTGCTGTCAATATCTGTGTTGTCCCAAAGAGTGTTTTGGTAAGGTATATAAGTTTGAATAAAGAGAAACCTGAAGAGAATCTGATAAATACAATTGAAGTGCACCAGATTAAATGGAGAAGTATTATGGGTTATTTTGTGTGATGAGAAGACACCTATAAAGTTAACAGGAAAGTTCTATAGAACGATTATTAGCTTAGCTATGCTGTGGACATAGAAATGAAGATGTTAAAATGAATGCATGACCTCAGTGGAGTGTATAAACTAAGAATGAGTGTATAGTCTATACATCAACAAAACGAGGTGACATTAATAGAGGATAAAATAAAGAATGGAGATCTCGATGGTTCGAGTGGAGATCAAATTTAACATGACTTGAGACAAAATAATGATTTGCTTGAACCTCTGTACTGTGGACTGAATGGTGTATTACGGGTATTTTGTGTCACGAGAAGGCACCTATAAAGTTAAAAGGAAAGTTCTATAGATTGCTCAAAAAATTGTGGACTTCCTCACTTGAAAAATACTAAAGAATTATGCAAATGACAAATTTAAGTTGACAGTGATAGACTTTAAAAACCAACGAGACCAAAGTCATTACCAAAATCATATATCTCTGAATATTGATGCAAACTTTGAACTTGTTTAAATTGATGGTATCCACTCTGGCAATCCATTAAGCTTGGGGAAAAACAAAATGGATATATGAGAATTTTGGAAAAAGAAGATATGGCGAAGACAAAAATCGCCAGTCTTTTACTATACTTGTTGATGCATCAAGCACTGTTTGTAACATAATATACATGCAGTGTACTAGATATCGCTTAAAGAGATCATAACAGTACTTAAATTGCCAAATGAAGAACCAAAAATTGTCATAATTATGCATGTTCAGTCCAAGAACCTTAGGAGAAAATAAATATCATTCATATATAATATATATAACAGCATGTATGAATGTCTTCAGTAAAGAACTAAATATCAGGACATGTATTGGGTGCAATCTCAAAAGCTGTGCACAAAATGCACTTTGCGCTCAACAAACTTTTGGAGCTAAATCCCGGAGGACAACTACGTTGTTTTGTGGATCTTGTCGAATTTAAAGAAAACTGAAGAGCATTTCTAGTGCAAAATAAAACTGTGAAGTATTCAAGATAGAGCCTTAATGTTATTGCTCAGATTGGTACATTGGGGCCTTAAGATATTAATTAGATGAATGGAAATAAAGGTGATATAGCATCACCCTGTTCATTTTCAATAAACGGTTCTTCATGAATATCTTCACCAATTGCCAATACCATAATCAGTGCCTTCCATTTCTACACACACACACACACACACACACACACACCCCTAACATTAATTTACTTCCAAATTGAACGATTTGGATAAATTTGTTTATTGTTATTCATATCGTTTTAATTGTCATTTGATAGCTAATTTTGTGTGAACAGCAAAGAGACATTGCCTGGAGGATTGTCGGTCAACAAGAAAAGGGCTGAGAGAGGTCTTTCACAACTGAAGGTTGAGCTATACAGACTGCATGAATTACTTCACTTGTTATGATAGTAAACGGGAAAAATTGTAGCATTAGTCCCCAACCTATTGCTTCAAGCAATAAAACCATCAAAAACTTTGTTTAAATCATCATGTGGAACTCACACCTCCAACTCTATGCAATTAGGCTTTTTTCTAACTTGGCCGGGTGCCTATAAATTTAAAGTGAGGCACATTTCTATGAGGTCACGTGATATGATTTAACAAGGCTTTGGAAGCTTTTTGTTGTTGAAGACTGATTGTGCAACTAAAATGGAAGGTTGACTACCAACTTCCTACTCAGGCAGTAATTTGGGTGGGTAATAATGTTGCAATGTTCCCTGGTAAGAATGTCCACCCTATAGAAATGCTCAATATTTGATGTCTCTAGTATGCAGATTGAAGTTGTAGATTTAGTCCCTGGGAATTCTAGTGGAGAGAAAATGAGTTCAACATCAATGAGGAGGCTTGAAGCCGAGAAGCTAGCAAGTTTCCAACTAGAAGATCAGGTATAATTGATGGAACTGTATATCGAAATTTACTTTTCTTGGATGTGCCAGAGGAATCAGTAATTTGACATGCTTGATTTCAAAAGATGTTATGGAAGAATAGAGTGCACCTGTTTGTATCGTTAACCACGTTGTCTTCAAAGTCTTGGTGGATCAAGGTTTTTTATCCTTGTTCTATGTTGTATGCCATTGTTTCTTCAAACAAGCACATTGCATATATATAATGTTTAAATTAAAATAAGCTTAGTTATTGGAGTTTTATCTCTCTTTTGATTGTGTAGATTCAAGATTGTGTTCATGGATTGATATTATTTTCATAAAAGTTATTGGATTTATTGTCAAGACTTCGTAAAATCTCATTTCTTGGCTGCTTGTGTATGTATTATATAAAGAAAAGTTTTATAGCAACCATATTTTGTTTCAAACAACGGTTCTTGATGTTGATGAGTTTATACTTATCTTTGAAGTTGAATGGTAGTGATGAAGGTAGAAATTGAAAGGTAATTCGATCAACATTTTTAGAGCATATCCAAAGGATTCTTTATTTATATAAAGAGCATTTTATGCATAACATAGAATATCTTTTAAATTAGAGAATTATTTTTTTTACACACTCCAAGAGTACTTTCTATTATGACTTTCCTTTGGTTTTCATAGAAACATTTATTGATTTTCCTCATTTTTATTCAATATGTCTATGACCAATTAATTCAAACATTTTAAGATGTAGAGTATTAATTTAAGAGGTAGAATATTGAAATTTGTAGATTATTAAGGCCCTTTTTGGTTTAGATAATCATATTTTTATTCGATTTTGATTAAAGTTGATGGGAAAAAAAAAGAAGTTGATGGAATGTATAGTTAAAAAGTTGTGTATCTCATGAAATGTGTTATTAAATGTTGACTTTGACTTACATATTAATTCAAATTCAAATTTTTGATTGAACCAAAAAGGGGCTAAATGCAATCGTTATAAAGTAAGAACACAACCTTTTGGAGCTCATTTTTAAACATCGACTCTTTAAAAACCATAGTTGACTTATTTCTGGAGTTACCCTATAATGAAAATATCACAATTAATTTACTGTGATAACTAAATAAAATAACGGACCATGTAAGTAAACTTAGATTTTTGGTCTATGATGTTTTCAACATTTTTTAAGTTCTTTTTTTATTTATTTTCTTTCTTCTTCTCCTCTTCTTTTATTAATGTTTCTTCACGTCTTTTTGAATAATGTTATTTATCATTATAATAATGTAATATCAGTTATGTGGCAATTTAAGTAAAATAATGAAATATGACAGTTTAATAATCTCCCCTGTCACATGAAATTTGAATTATCATATTACATAATTTCACTTATATTATCATATCACGAATATTTCATCTTTATAATGATAAATATTATTACTCTATTTTTCTCATTTCTTCTTTTGCCAGATTAGATATTCACACAAATAACAAGATATTAGTAACCCTTTCAAAAAAACTACTATATTTCTAAATGTTCAAAAACTAAAATTGACAATTTTTCACATTTTAAATAAATAAATTGACTCAATTAAGTGGTCACTTGGGATGAGATTTATCTCCAGTGAGGTTACACATACAATCTAGGTGACTGTAAATGATAGGTTAAATGAAATGTGAAATTAAATGACTTACAAATACACATTAACGTTACCTAGACTGTGTTTGTAATCCCACTGAAAATGAATAGCATTACTCATGTCCTAAGGAAGGACAATGGCAGGATGACGCGATTAAACCTCAAAAGAAGATTTGAAAATATTACTCTAAACTTCCGCATGTCCCGATTCTTCAATTGTAATAGGTTACAAGATCCCATCTTACGAATAAATGCTAAATGTTTATACCAAATTTTAGAAGCACGATGTTTAAATGAACACTAAAAATCAAAATCAAATAGTTGTAAATATAAATTGCCAATTGAATTCATCAATTTCAAATTTATTTTTTAAAATAAAATCATTTTAATTAAAAAGTGATTTTTTTCTCAAAAATACGACGTCGTCTATACAACATAACTAACCGGCCTTAGCGGGATACAGAACTCAACGGCTATTCCCACATAACCGAAAAAAAGTTTCAAATTTTTGAAATGAACAGCACTGAACAAATACCAATTTCTTCTCTATATAATTCCCTCAAGATTATCTCATTCTTCCCTTTCAATTTCATCATCTGTTACAAAAAACCCTTAATTGTTGAAAATTAAACTCTCTCTCACACACACTCAGTGAGAGTAAGGAAGGGGAGAAAAAGAGACCAAGAAAGGGAATATTAGCAGTTGGGTTCTTTTCTTTTAATCCGATTATTTTAGAGTCTGAATGTTAATCTTGATTTATAACTTCTGTAAACCCTTTTATGTGTATTTTCTTGATGAACCCGAGATTGTTTTGAATTTTTCTTCATGTATTTTGAATTCAGTCTCTTAATCAGAATTTAATCTTGAGTTGAAACTCTCTTGAACATGTTTATGTGTATTTTCTGATGAACCTGTAATTGTTTCGAGTTTGTCTTCATGAATTTCTTCAGTTCCATTCGGGTTTTCTCTTAAATTGATTCAGAGATTAGTCTTTAATCTGAATATTAAACAACTGTATTTATCAGAATACATGTTCATAGATGAAAGGAAATGAATTGATTTTTATGGATTTTTTTTGATTGATTGCAGGCGGGTTGTTGAAAAATTGTTGTGAAGATGAATGATCTCATGACAAAATCATTTTTAAGTTACGTCGAATTGAAAAAACAAGCGGAAATGGATCTTAAATCCGAGAGGGACATAGAGGAAGGCCAACTCAGCCACACAGATGAAGAAAATCTCTCTCATTTCTTCGAAGAAGTTGAAGCGATTAAGGATAATATGAAAGAGATAACCAATCTCTTTATTGATCTTCAAAGTTGGAACGAAGAAACAAAGACAACTCACAGTACCAAAATTCTTCGCGGTTTAAGGGATCGAATGGATTCAGACATTGTTTCTGTCCTTCACAAAGCGAAGATCGTAAGGGCAAGGCTCGAGGCACTTGATAAATCAAACATGTCAAATCGGGGAATATCAGCAAGATATTCAGAAGGAAGTGCTGTGGATCGAACAAGAATTTCGACTACTAAGGGATTGAGAGCCAAACTTAGGGACATTATGAATGATTTCCAAGTTTTACGGGAGAAAATTCTCTCAGATTACAAAGACAGCCTCAAGAGGAGGTATTACAATGCCACGGGGGAGGTTCCTAGCGAAGATGTGATCGACAAGATGATTTCGGAAAATGGGAAGGTTGCAATTTTCGAAGAGAAAACCGAAGTGAATTTGGAAAACAAGGAAAGGCATGAATCTGTAATGGACATTCAAAGGAGTTTGAACAAGCTTCATCAAGTGTTTCTTGATATGGCTGTTCTTGTCGAGACGCAAGGTGAAAGGATTGATGATATTGAGCATAATGTTGCGAATGGAAGAAGTTTTGTAAGTGGTGGCACTAACAGTCTTTTCTATGCAAAACAGATGAAGAAGAATAGAAAGAAATGGATATATTGGGTGTGTGGCGTTGGCCTAATCATTTTACTAGTTTGCTTCATTGCCATGTTAACCTCTTGAGACGAAGCGAAAATGAGTTATAAGTTCTTTTACGTTGTAATAAGATTCGTAGGATTCTTGAATACAAATTCCCTTTTCCTGAACTTCTCTGAGCTACTTTTTAATCAATTCTGATGTTTTTTCAAGGGCTTTTTTGATATATAAGATGTCTCCACTTCAACTCTTCTGTAATAATGCTATTTGCATGTCACCATTGAGCAAATAAAGTCATTTTCAAGAAATGAAGATATAAACATGATTAAGAAGATAAAACACAATTCGATTATCACTTTTAAGGATATTATTACATTTATATACAGATTCCTTTTTACTCTTCTCGAATGACTCGTGTGTGATTCTGAATCTGCCTCCTGCCACTTTTGCATGAGGCACAAATCGTCTCTAGTTCCATATAGAAGTCAAATAACTAGCACGGTGGAAGATCCTTTGGGGGAGGCAAGACAGTTTGATCTGATCCCGGTCCATCCTCCACCAAAAACGCCGTCTTTAATCCCCAGCCGGTATGGAGCTCCAAATGACAGTGAAAGAACCACACCCCTACGAAATATAGCATTAGACATTAGTACTCAAATTTCATGTCTGAAAAGACGAGGTAAATTTATCATCAGTCGTTATCAGAAACTATGGATTGTTAAACGTGCTCTAATTAGTGCACGTGTTAGGTTTTTGATGAAAAAATTGAATTTGTCATGCATACCTGGATTATCAGCTCTAAACCGAATGGCAGTCCAACCACCAGTGGGGACTCCCACTGTGTTTCTTTCAGGTGGATCAACCAAGTTATATTTAGCCCGATCTTTTGCCGGATTAAAGTTTCCAATACCAGTTCCTACAACAAAGAAGTTATATCCATGAAGATGGAATGGATGCGATTCAACTGATAGCAAATTCGTATCTTGCAGCACCAATTCAACAGTCGAGTTGAAGGGAATCTTGCTGATTCTTGTTCCTCGGGCAGTCCTAAGATTGGCCGTAAGTGGCGCACCGGTATAATTGAAAGGAGTAGGAGGCTTGTCAGGAAAATCAGTTTTAAAAACCCCTTTAATGTCAAAATAATGAGCCTGGAGGAGCCCGACTTGGGGCATAACAAACGAGATATTGTTCAAAGAGGCTGTTAATCTGGTTCCATTAACACAAGAGGGACAAGAATTCCTTCCTAAACCAATTGTGTAAAACAGATTTCTGTCGACTTTCAGTGGAACATTCGCGGGATATTGTGCAGAATTTAGGCTCTTGAGTTTGTCTTCATAACTCAATGCAAATGCAGAATCATTAGGTGCAGGCAAGTTGGGAAATTTAGGAATTACAGTATTTGGGATGCCTTTGTACTGGAATATGGCTGTCGCTGTTTTATTGTCGACAGGGATTGGGACGTCCATGAAAGGCCGCGCAGCCATGAAATAACGTCCGGGAATTTGATTGGCTCGAACAAGAACATTTGTTGTTTGTCCAGGGGCAATTAGAAGAGATTGGGTTGAAAATGGCTTGGTGTATACTGCATCAATCTCGACTACTGTCATACAGTGATTGTCAATGGCAAAGAAAAGATCGTCGTTGAGGGCAGAGTTTATGATTCTCAAGAGATACGTCTTCCCTTGTTCAACTTCCATAGCAAAAGTATCTGAAAGAAAAGAATATCAAAAGCATAATTAGTATGAATTTGACTTGCATGCGAAAAGACGTGTTGAAGATATAAGCATAACAAATATACAAATTCACAGTCCTTACGTTTTTCAGAACACGGAAAAAGTGGCCCGGGCTTTCCGTTGATTGTATGTGCGTCCGACATATTCGGAGGTAAGCCCAAGTTATTTCCCTGCTTCTCCACCTCCTCAACATCTGCATTCCACCATTCTCCTGCAGCATAAAAATTGCTCAACATAGTATTAGCATATTGAGCTCAAGTTTAGGCCCCACATTTATAAAAATTGTCCGACTGGAATTCCCACATTTATAAAAGTTGTCCGACTGGAATTTAGATTGCACAAGAGGCTTTTAGACGAGGAAGTACAAGGTGCATTTTGCTCATCCGAAACTCACCTAACAAAATCACTTCTTCTCTAGCGGGTCGTGGGAAAGGAAATGGAGTCCCTTGTTTCGGCGTGATCACAATAGCCCCATAAACGGTGGCCCTTAGCCAGAAAATGTGTGCATGCCACCACAATGTACCTCTTTGCCCTGTTACATTGAAGTCATATACATAGCTATTTCCTGTCTGAATTGGACATTGGGTAATATAAGCCGGTCCATCGGCCCAGCCATTTCGATATTGCTTCAATCCGTGCCTAGAACAATCCCCAAATTCCGATGTTAAAAAATAAATTCATTTAGACAAGGTGGTTCAATATGTCGGTGCTTGTGTGTGCTCGTTCATACCAGTGGATGGACATGTTATACTGCGCATGGTTCGTTACATTGACAAGAACTCTATCTCCTTCTCTAGCATAGATTGTTGGCCCCGGAAATCTCCCATTAACAGTAACAATAGGCTTCGCATGGCACAATCGACTCACATTCTTCACTTGAATCTGCATACAAGAAATCAAAGTGGATATGAATGCGTACACTTCGTTTTACTAGATATTTAAAGCATTATGTATCTGTGGTCGAGATTACATAACCCGTTAAGATAGAACGAGTTCAAATTAAACCACTCACATCAAACTGATATTTCTTAACGGCTGCCTCAGCATGAAAAGAGATTAAACAGAGAAACCCGAATAACAGTATATGAGTGCGAATAAATTTCGTTAAACTATCCATTCTTCTTTCAAATGAGAAGAGCAAACGATATGAGATAATGTCTCTTCAGCACAAACCACACCGAATATTCATAAACAAAGTCCGACCAGGTATAAACGCACAGTTGAGACTCGGGATTAATGTCAAGCACATGGATCATGATGGCAGAAATGCAGTATACTTATAGAGTTGTCATGAAAATGTGGGTTTCCAGTTTGTTAGGTGAAAGGGGAAGTGAATTGGACTTGTAAGCGAAATATTTTTTGATGGAGACTTGTAGGCCATTAACTGACTTAAAAGGCTTAGAAATACATGAGAATTAAGCCAAGAAAAAGAACAAAATAAGCAAATTTGTGAAAAATTCTGCATACATGAGAGGTACACAAGGCCAAACCGTGCCCTCCTCTGGTGCTTTGCTGAGCTTTACAGTTAAGCAATGAAATAACTTTTCAATTCAAATCTTCTACACTAATGTGCAACTTTTTGTTAACAAAACCTGTCTTACGGATTGAGAAAAAGTTTTGCAGAGTATAAATGAATGGTATCAGATACGAAACGTCAAAGTTCAAGTTTTACCATCACTCATTAATGAAAGTTCCAATTATCCGACGTTTGATGTAAAAAAGTAAAAATGAATTGAACTTGCACACGATCACGAACAACGAGTTAAATGTGAATAGCTTTCGATTGGTGTGCTGCAAAATTTTTGAGGGATTTCTTTCTTTCCATTTAATTTTGCAGAATGCGTAAATTCTTGTAAAATTGTTGCTGTTAAGAATCTCTTTTTATTACCAACCTCACATGGGATGGAAAAGGAGTCTTGTACCTCGTAAATTTACCTCTTCTGAAATGGACAGATGTAATACTATTGTATCATAAAGTTGGATGAAATTTTACTCCAACATAGAAAACTCGTTAAGTATTACAATATAGTATAACTCACTCTTAAAACCAACTTATTACGGGGGGAAACTCGACTGGTTATAAACCCATAAGTTAAACCTCACGTTGGCGATGTGAAATATAGTTCACGTTGTACATTTATCTTGCGAAAATAACCAGCTGAAGCGAAAGGTTACCCCGAACAATTAGGGTTTTGAGTTAATTATGTAATCAAATGATACATATAAATTTCTATATTCTTTGATTTTAAAGGGACCTTATCATTACAAAATAGACTATGATAACTAGGTCAATTTCAACATGGAACTGCAACTTTCCCCTTGATGTATATATTCACATCTTGTTATACGTTGACTTATTCATGGATTAATTTTTATACGTAATTCTTGAAAGATTACTAATAAATTTTAAATCAAATAGAAATTTACTGTAATTCCAACATGAAGATCAAGATTTTTCTGTACCTACAAACCTATATACCTAGTTAATGCCCAGAAAACATTTCAAAACAAGAATAGTAGAAATAGTAGAACAGACGCAATCAAGGCCTCTACACCTAAAACGAAGCTAGAAAATCCACCCCAGCGCGATTCCTTTGGATTTTACTTTAGAAATCACTAACGAAATAGGCAGTTCTCTTGTTCCAATGATAGCTCCGCATCAGCATTCGATTCTTATAACATAAATTACGAAAACCTGGAATTTGCATTGCCGAAGAAAAAAAAAATTAAAAAAATCCATATGCATACTTAGCCCCTGTTCGACACCCATTTTGGAGAAAAATAAATTCTGGAATAGTGATTGATGGAAGAATGTGTGGTTAAAAAGTAATGAGAATTTTTGGGTTTATGTGTAGTATTATTTTATTGATAGAATGTGTGGTTGAAATGAAGAAAGATAAAAA